AAAGTTGATTTTTGTGTTATATTTTACAGTTTATTAATTGTTGAACCATTTTTAGTCGATAATAGAATAGTTAATATATAAAATCAAATTTTAGTTCAATAATACCTAATCTTAGTGCAATAAATATAGTGATAAATACAATAGTTAGTTGTAGTGCTTGTAGATGCTCAAAGACTGCTAAAAACGACTTTTTTAAAATGAGTTTTCATCGGTAAGTACATTATCGTAACACCATTCATTTAATAGGTCTAAGTAATATGTATTTTAGGTAAAATTTTAATTAATGCATGCTAGTTGTTTCTAACCTAAAATTGCCATTGACATGGGCGTACGTATCCTTTTTATGTTAATTTATAGCATTGTATTTAGATAAGATAGTAGAACAACCTTATACGTTTCATTGGAGGGAATTCTGTCTCGACATCTGTTAGAACAAGTACAGAACGTCATCAAAATGGCTCGAGCGCTAGCGCTTCCTCGATCATTGAGTATAGAATTCTATATACATAAAGTTTTCTTAATTTTTAAGTTCATTTGGGTAGACTGCCAAATTTAAATTAATATTGTTTATATTCTCTAAAATGATAAATCGTAAATAAATGTACATCAAGCATAATTAAACTCGTTTATTTCATTTTTAAAACAAATATTCTGAATCGACTATCAGTCCATCTATTAGTAAATAGATAAATTACGTTCGTTATTCAGTTTCGACCAGGGGCTGGTAACTCAAATGGAAAAACATGAGGATGGTAATTTAGTACCACTCCAATTAACGGGATGGCGCTCGTATCGAAATGTCATGTTAGTTGTCAGCTTGTCAGCAAAACTTCAAACTTGGAAAAATTAAAATGGCTGTTGCATTTAAGCGTGATTTGAAGGTGTATTGGATTTTGATTAATCTAGATTTAGTTTTCAACACCTTCCAATTTTAAGCATGTTTTCAAGAGATGGGAACATGGATTTCAGCAACAAACAATAAAGCACTCCCAGATATTGGTAGTTATGCAATTTATACCACGTATTAAATATGCGGTCGTCATATTAAGGATAACCAAACAATTTGTAATAAGTGTCTTAAGAAAAAAGCATCTTGTACTGGCATCAATGGTAAGTAATATTTACAAACTTGTTTTTGATTCAGTGTTAAAATAATTGGTTTGTTATTTAAATTTCTTTTTGCTTTCAGTTTTTAAATGATCATTGTTGTAAAGAAAATGTTGGCCCCTCAAAATACCCTGTCGATCGATGAAATATTTGAGCCTCAGCCATCAATATCAAAAATTGATTCAAAGTCATTGACATCAAACAAGAAAACACCCTAAAATCTTCAAGGTTCCAAACGTGTGTAAGTTTAATTTATGCTCAAAAGTTAAATTCATTTATCACAGTGCCCACAGGATGAATAAAAATTTGATAACTACAAGTGCTGCATAAATGAATCAAGAAAACAATTATCGGATGAAGAAATGCTCCTCAACCTTAAATTAGTCGACTCAATAACCGTATGGCAAATTTTATCCACACTCAAATTTGCCTGGATAGTAAAAAAGGATGATGCTTCAACTTCAATTTTTTCAAACTTATTTGCCACTCCAAGTCGCAAAACTTTTATAAAGGGCTTGAGCACTTATATATGCTGATTTTGTTACAGAAAACATTTTTGATAGGTTTGTTTTATAAATATTTAATTATTTAAACGGTGTAAATGCATATTTGTTTGAGTATCTCCATGTTTAAATAGACAAATTATACGATGTGGCGTTAATTTACTGTAATAAAAAAAATAAAATAAATTGCATTTTATTTCAAGTTTGAAATTAATGCAAAAATATAATGAAGTAAAATCAAATAAAGATATAAATTGGCAAAATATTTGACTAGTTTTAAATCACAAAACAGTCAATATGGTTGTTTTATGATTTGAAACTAGTCAAATATTTTTTCCAATTTTTTTGCTTTATTTGATTTTCGTAATTACATTTTTGCGCTACTACAAAGTTAAATTTCAAAAAGCTCGCTCATGGCGGCCATATTGAATTTTAGTACCACTCCAATTTGATAGATGGCAGCACATCGACTCAGAATTTTACCATTGAGTTTCCCATCTATTCACATTAGTAATCTATGGTTTCGACAACCGTTCGATGGCTCGGTAGAAGACGACAAAATTATCAAAGACATGACTTGGATACCACGGAGCTTGCTGTCATCTATTGATACTGTCCATTGTCCTCCAAGATAATTTGCATTGGTATTGTTCTACTAGTTGATCTAAATACAATGGTTATGATTTGGTTCATCGAACACAATGTTTAATTTCAATTTTTCACTAACTTTAAGAAAATTGATCAACTCCTTTTAGATTAGCACGTTCATCAAGCTCTTTTTAATTTTACACATACAATATAAAAACTTTTTTACTAGAAACTTAAATATTATGTTTATTGTTAATTTAGTTTCATGCATCATTTTTCTTAGCGAATTTATCATTATCATAAAAAATAATGTAAAGTGTAAAAGTCATAATGACTAATTTATGATTTGCTGTTCTAACTATAATTAATATTAATAATAATAGTAAATTATTAACAAACTTAAAATCTGATCCTATCAAAAAGTATTCATCATTTATGACACGTTTTTTTTGCGTTTTCAGTTTTCCACTCGATGAAAATAAAAAGAAGATAATAGACCAAGATTATAAACAAGGATGACTGTAATCCTAGAAAAAAGTTTTTATGTTCTATTTTACAGAAAATTACTTTGATAGATATTTCTCTCTTGTTGTTATACTGCTGCCAAATACTGTACCTACGATTCAAGTGACTCGCACACATACTATTATAGCTTGTGTTAAGAACTTATTTTAAGCAAAAAAAAGTTTTCGACAAATGTCTAATTATGGAAAATAGATTGTTTTATATTTTTCAGGTAAGAACCTACAACCCTTTGATTAACAGGTAACAACTGCCTGTGATGAAGCTTCTTTAGCTCCTCCTGGACCTTCTGTTTGTCAACAAAGTTATACATACATATAGAGACAGAAGAGGACCTTCCTGATTGCCCTCGTAAAAAGAAGCTCAAAAGACGAATACAAAACTTGAAAGCACAGAATGAAGTCGAGAATTTTCAGCAAATCTTTAAAGAGCATAATGCTGGAACTCATAAAAAATAGATTGTTAGACGTTTATTTAGGAAAACCTTGGGCAAGACTATTTAAGATATTCATCAAAATCTTTTGCAATTACACTACATTTTATTTCCATTAATCCAATATCATCAAACAAAATAATTAACTAGGTAAACGTTTTATAAATCATTAAAAATAATGTTAAATTGTAAAAATCCTAAAATATAATTATACACTTTTATAAAGACTTTGTTTTACTGAATTTTTAATCTAATAAAAATATCACACTTTCAAACAATATAAATATGATGCACCACTGGTAAATACTAATGTCAAGTAGCCATCTTTGTTAACGATCCCGGTTAACTAACCTTGGCGAAACCATCCTTCCTTACTACTTTATATTCTAAGGGTTACATAAGTATTGTAATGTGAGCCATTTCATTATTCAGTCATGCTCTAATCCTCCAAGTCCCTCTCTGTCTTATTTGGCCTTTGCGGCTCAACTTATCTGATTATCATACATAATTAAACCCCTTAAGACCAAACATATGTGACGACTATGGCGCAGGTGCTTTCGATTACTATTCGAGAAAGAACGGGATAATGTTTCTAGTTTTGGTGAAGAACATTCTACAACCTTCACCATAATTTTAAATTTGTATATAAATATTGGTGGAGGAACAACGCAGTCAGTCAGTTAATTGTATATAGACAGTGAAGATAAATAGTGAACAGTTTAAAGACTTTCGAAATATATAAATTAGAATAGTATTGTTATAAAAATAAATAAGTGTTTAAATAAATTTTTTTTTATTTAAATAAACTGTTGTTTAAAATAAACAAACATTACAGTATGTTCTGATAAGCTTATAAAGAAATGCCTTTTAAATTTTCTAAATTTATTGGTACATGATTTTGTTAGAACGGGGGTACTTCAGGGGTGATCCCATATGAATTTGGTCAAGATGTGGTGATGGCATCTGCACTATTTTTAAAATTACTTTTATTACTTATTTAAATCTCATATGCAAATACTACTGTTTAAAATTCTCAGTTTAAATTTATGATAAAATTGAAATGTGGAATTGGTAATGTAGGTAAATATTGTTTGTAAACATTGTACAATAAAAAATTGTAATATTTACATGTTTATGTTTGTTTTACCTTGATTTTCGAAGCGGTAGCAATCAAGTTTGTGGAAATTAAAATATATTAATATTTTTCCCCTTGTAACATATCAAAATGATGATGAATAATGTAGATCATATTGAAGAATATTAAGTATTGCATTTTGTTAATATTATAAATGTATTTTTAAGCCTTTGTCATTATAATTAAATTCAAGGTTGTCATATTTTTAAAACAGTTTTATTAAAGATGTTTAAAATGTCTTAACATATACGTTTTAAAATTCATGGCGATAAATATTTAGAAAATGATAATATATAATACTAATAATATAAACTATATAATGAGATACTTTATTTAAAAGACTCTATATATACTATACACCCTTAAGTACTTTTAAATTATGTAACAATATTTTAAAGTTTACTTTTTGGATGTCTGTTTAAATTCGTGTATTTAAAGCTGTTTTTAGAATTATTTTAGGATGTTCAGATTCAATTAATTTTAATAAATCACAAAAAACTGCGGTGGCAACACTATATCTATTTAAGTTTGGATATACTATATCCAAAAAAATAAAAATTGTGTCCCTTGTGTTTTTCCGGCCGACTGAAAACCAAACTGAATATTATACAGTAGTATTATATTGTAACTTATGGTTTCTTTAATAATATTAGTTTTAGCAAATAGTGTTAAGAGCATACCAATAGTGATTAATCATCTTTTCCTTTTTTAGGACTTCCAACAACTTATCGAAGAACAAGGAAAAATCGTAAGATCACGTCACTTACAATATCTCTTAGCGTTCAGCTATTGGCCTCAAATATTAGCGAGACAACCGAAAAATATATACGAAATCAGAAGTTATGCTTTGAAACCTGGTACTATGATAGAATGGGGTAATAATTGGGCTAGGGCGATTAATTACAGACAGAACAACGATGAAGCTTTTGCTGGATTTTTCTCTCAAATTGGAAGACTTTATAATGTTCATCATATATGGTGTAAGTATAAAATATGAACTTAATATTGTATAATTATGTATTATTTTAGTAATTTGAATACAAAAATATACATAGTCTGAAAACTGAAAACAAATGATTTATATATTAACTGACTACCATCAAATTTAAAATATTTACATTTATAAAATAGTTTTAAAAGAAAACGAATTACAATTAATTTAAAAATCAAAATCGATGGGTTGTAAACAGTAGTCTTAAAAGATTATTTTAAATTCACCTAAAAATACAGTCATTTTATTTTGAAACGAAATTCCAATGATAAAAAAAATTAGTGATGAATTACAAAACGATAATAGTTTGCTAGAAATATGGCGAAATGTTTTATACCACAGTATAGCCGAAATTAAATTTAAGTATTGTGGACCAAAACGTAATAGTGCCCTTATCAAAAGAGACGAAATTATTATATGCTGTAAAAATTGTTGAGCTCCATATATTCGCTGGCATTGACAGATGAAGTCAATTTGCAAACTTTTGGCACTGAGGTATATTATAATAAAAAGTAACTCATATAATGTAAGGTTTAAAACCCACAAAAGGACAATTGACTAGACTCTAACTGGAGACGGGGAGCTCCAGTACTAAAGGATGTTAAAGAGTGCCCGATTAATTGTCAGTAAGTAAGTAATTGTTACTAGGACAGTTGAACTCTTGTGGATTTTAGATCTTATATTTTGGCGCCCAACGTGACTCTCAACGAAACCAGACCTTGATTAGTATATTTTAAATATAGACTGTATACGATTCTAATAACAATACGTTTGGTTTCATTTAAATCTGAGAAAAGTATTTTGTTGTACATATATCATTTCCTCCAGTTTGTAAAAAACTTTGTCAGAAAAAATTCCACGTTCAAGCTATTCGTAAATATTGGCGATTTAAATTAAAATTTTTCTTCTGGCATTTCTTTGTTGGTTTAACATTGGAATTACCATAAATAATTTTATTAATTATGCTAGTTTCCGTGCGGCAATAGGTTTAGATTTTCCTTCAGCTGTCATTACATTGTAGTCCACTTGGGCCTCTGGAGTGATCTACAGATTATTTTATTTTTAAGGTTACAATAACTTGAATGGCAGGAAGGAAACGAGAGAAAGCGCCTGGAGATCACCTGGTTGGGACGAATGTGTCGCATATACTGTACCGCTAATTAGAGAAATGCATTGCCGTGTTATGGTTCCCACAGAATTCTCGCCCACTCAATAATCCCTAGAAAAGTCAATCACACAGTCGTTCGGTTTATATCGGTTTCGTTGCGCTGGCATTTAAACTAAAAATATAATCCCGGTTAAACAAATGCAGGCATGATTAAAAAAAATATTTTTGAACTTCATTTTTGTCAAAGATAGATAGAATATAATTTTACTGAAAAAGTTATATTCACCCAGTTAAAAAGTAGTCTTTGACAATGATTCTCTTTCTAACTAATAGAAAATATAGCCATGCAAACTTGGTAGTATCCCACTTTTAAAGTTTATTTTTTATAATGTAATATATACATACGGGTAAGGATTAACTCTATTTTCCTCTGGAGTCACTATTCCCAAATTTAATGTAGTTTTTTTTCTGAAAAAAATTAATAGTATCGTTAAAAAAATTTAATTTTTCCATAAAACAATTTATCAAAATATTTGACCCCTTTACCGTACTTAAGCCTGTCCATAAAATATTAAGACCATTTACCCCGTAAGCATATTTGGACCCTTAAGTCTGTGTGCCCATGTAAAAATGTTTGGCCATTTACTCAGTTGTTAAAGTAAATACTCCTCTTAAGAATTCTATGAGGAAAAATCGAAAAATTACAAATATTTTTTCAAATTATATTTCTTATTAATTATCTTATATGAAATGGGTGCGAATCGTTTTTAAAAATCTATTAACTCGAACTGAAAACATATATTATTTTATTTGAACTGGATGCGAATCGTTTTTTAAAATCTATTAGCTTGAGCGAAAAACATACTAAACTTGTTATAACCGATATTAATTTTAAATTAAAATTCTGTAAGATCTTTTTAGGCATACAGTGCTGGTAGGGTCAAACTTTCATTCCTGCATTGCTTGAATGGGAGTGCTAATGACAAATCGAGTCCTGTGCTTGTGAATGCTATTTACTCTTCACCCCAACACAAGCAAAGCGGGATCGAAGGTTTGATCTTGCCAGCACTGTATAAGAAAGTCTGCATTTTCGTTCTGTTCAAAGGGTATATTAGAAATTACGGGTTTTCATTGATATTTTCTGTGTCGTTGCACTATTTTTATATCCACCCTGCAGTCATTTTAATTGCCATTGTAAATATACTCATGGACAAAATGTTCAAATATTTTTATTTTTTAAACATAATATTCAAAAAATATTCGATAATTTTTTCCAAGAGTACATAGTATTCAAATCTTATTCTATTATAATTTTTTTAGTCTTCTGCTTGTCTCATTTTGTCAAAAGATATTTCTGTCAATATTAAAATGTGTAACATTAGGTAGATCTATCTTTTATTGACATCTAATTACGGCTCAAAGTCTCCATGAATCATGTTGTAGGCGACCAATGTAGAACACCGAGAGTCCTAACATGGTAATGTTCTTTTCACCTTTTTTGGCGCGTATCACTATGATACGAAATAAGTGTCAGCTTTTTTTTATTTTTACTTCAAAGCATAAAAATGGAATAAATATATATCTATACATGAGAAAGATGGTAATATGAAAGTAATTCGCATATTATTATCGGCACACGTCAATCAATGTGAAAAGAAGTAAAAAGAAGTGTAGGAAGCATACAAAACTACAAATAAATTCAATAATTTTGTATATTTCAAAAATTTGCTTCTGCCAATAGTTACTTAGAAGAAATGTTAGGGTATACTTTTTTAATGAATTAAAACTACAAATTCAAACTTTTTTAATATAGTAACTAATCTTACTTTTATTAGTATTAGTTTTTCATTATTAAACATACCAACCAGTTTTATTACTTTTTATTATTGCTATCCTATTACTAGAATACCCTGTATATGTCTTCTTCCTATTCCTTTGTATATTATTTTGGATAATTATTGTAATTTTAGTTTTTACAAGCCATTTTTATTATTAAGTGGTTGATGTTATTGTTTGAAATTATATGTTTAAAAATATAAATGTTTACAATATATTTTGTTTTATTTAAATTCACAGCCCCACAAAAAAAAGTGTTCAGGCTTGGCGGTCGGACATATGTATTCCCATGTATTTTTCGACGCTATATGGCCTGGAAGGTGGATTCCGTGATGAGGCGTGGTTGAAGGTGCATTCTAAAGCCAAAGTCGGGTTTGTGGTCGAAAAGTTCACGGATAATTGGAAGTCCCCGTGCGGGCCGGGAAAATGGCCCGGCAGGGGCCGGAAAATCGTGTTCCGGACGTCGCAATGGTATCAGGGGCATTTTTATGTACTTTTGAATTCTGGAATGAATACCGTGCTCGAAAAGTTTATGGCCAACTGAAATTTCACGTTTGGGACTGAGAAAATGGCCCCTTAGGGGCCGAAAAATCGTGTTTCGGACGTCGCAATGGCATTGGTGGTATTTTTATGTACTTTTGAATTCTGGAATAAATACCGTGCTAGAAAAGTTTATGGCCAACTGTAATTCCCCATTTAGGACCGAAAAAATAGGCCGGAAAATCGTGTTTCGGACGTTGCAGTTGCTATAGTGGTATTTTTATGTTCTTATTTATGCCCTAGTTCTCGAACTCAGACTGTGCTCGAAAAGTTTATGGCCAACTGGAATTCCCTCTTTGGGACCGGGAAAACAACCTCTTAAGGGCCGGAAAGTCGTGTTTGGGACGTAGTAATCGAGTGGTATTCTCATGAAAATTGAGTGAAGTTAATGTTCTTCTACTCTGCGAATAGATTTGACGTCGAGAAGGTTTCATCAGGATCGGTTATGGCCTTAATTCAAGAATTACTCATATGTGATAGTTTTCCCCGGTATCTAAAAGATTCCGATTGCCCCATCCACCGATTCTAATGCGTCTATCCTTTACCCATGTATTTATCTACACTCGATTGTCAAGTTTGAAGAGTAGTTTAAACGATACACCATACGGAAGTAGAACAGAAGTAAAAGTTGGAAATGCTTTTGCCAGTTCTCCCACTTTATACACATAAATTGACAGGTTGGCAGCGGATCTCACCGAACGCGATACATTGGCGTACAAAATTATTTTATAGATGTTAATAACAATTTCGAGTAAATAGTTTAATAAATTGTGAATGAATAGCTGTTGAAATTTTGTAAAATTATAATTTGAATATTATAATACATGTTTAATAATTATTTATAATCCATAAATACATGCGATTGTCCGGTTCCGCCGATAACAATTTAAAATTACTTATTCTATGAAACGACACTGGCAGGTAAACATTACTGTGAAATTCTCGGAGCCGCCCGACGTGGTTTGACGTTTACCCCCTCTCTACCTACCAAAAGACTTTTCAACTTTTACTTTCTCTATACATACAAACAGTGAGGTATACTGGGATTTCTAATAAGACACAGTATTCTCGATTGTGTGAGGAAAACCCTCTCAGATGACGTTCAGGCCGGAGTTCCGGTACACCAGGTCTTCGGAGGTACGTTTTCGTGATGGAATTTAGATTCCGCGTGCTTAGAAACCTCCATGACGATTTTCGGTTTGTCTTTAGTGATTGTGTCTGGAGAACCCTCGGAGACGGCGTTTCGGTGCACTAGGTTTTCGGGGATCATTTTTGACGTGAAATTTGGATCAAGGGCTCCAAAAAATAACCCTACAAGGTTTTTCGGCTTGTTTTTGGCAATCTTAGCAAGATACTTCTCGGAAATGACGTCCACGTGCCGGTTATATTTGAATTCAGCACCCCAAAAAACCCCCGAGCGCCGAGTTTCTCTCCTTATCCGCTTGAATTTTGGGATAGTTCCCTTAGATAATGTTCATCGGCGTTCCTGAGCTCCAGGTCGGCTGTGGTTCAATTTGAACATCATACTCGTGATCAGCGACCTCGAAAACCCTCAGTAACTCGATTTGGGCCAGTCCTGACTCTTCCGCCTTTCAGGCCATATAGAGGCCATGGGACCAATTCCAGACGTGGAGGGCCATTTCTGAGCTCGGGATCGGATTCAGGGTCGAAAAATACATGGGAATACATATGTCCGACCGGCAAGTCTGAACACTTTTTTGTGGGGCTGTGATCCCATGCTTTTTTATTTTGGGTAAAGCCGTTCTTATTTTAAAGCATTACCAAAGCTTCTATTTATTTAAACATACAAAGTAACACATATATGTATATTATATGGTAGGTAGATAGTTGGTATATTATAAGAATGAGCAAATGCAAACATAAGTTTGGTTAGCTATTTATTTTAAATACAACAGTTATGTATTTAATGGTCATCCAGTAAATTAATATTAAAATTAAGTTATCATACGTCGTTTTTTCGTACCTACATAACATTTTTTTTTTTAAGTTTAAACTAAATGTTATTGAGATTTGGATAACCTTCTTATTCTTAAATGTTATTCTGTCGGGTTCTACTTTACAATACATAACAGGTACTTAAGCAATGTGTTGCTTATATACAGGGTCGCCACGAAATGAAGCTATTATCAACAGGGACGTACCTTGCTTTCCCTGCGCCCTTGGCGAAAAGACCTTTACCCGTCCTCCGCACCACTGAAATTACTCTTTTCGTGCAGCACCAATCTATACCTTCTGCCCAGTGCATCTATAAAGACACAGCACCGTAAACATTTTAAAATAATTATGCTAAAATGGTTTTAAATTGGATTTGTTAATTTCCCATACAGCACAAACACATTTCGGAAATATACACAAAACTCGAACAATGATTCAACCAAATAAATAAATAATTTTTAAACGTTATTTCATAAAATATAAAGGCGAAATGCACCAATCTGAAACAAATAGTTTTTTTAATACTTAAATGCCCCAAGTAAAGAAACATTTACGATTATTACAATCTGATCATTATGATTAATTAGCAATTTTATTCTAATATATTTGGAATGAAAAACTTCATAAACTAAGATTCTACTCACTAGTGTACCTTAGAGTAATTATTTAGTTACACTATCGTTAACGTATAACACTTAGCCGCACTATATTCTGCTTAAATCTAACATCACTGAACTAACTCAAAAGGCTTGATTTTCTTGAGTCTTCTTATTAGATTGACATTGTTGAGGAGCTAAATAATCTCAAGGGTTCCATGTTGGAGCAGTCATTGTTGGTGATTACCTGCAAATTTTTGTATTGTATTTTCAATAA